TCACATCCATCAATGTAACTTTAGCAATCAGAAACCTCTTGTTTTAGTGGTACTTAAAGAACTAAATATTTCTATAAAATACCATTAAGGAGAGTACAAACAAAAAAAGCTTAAGTTATTGTAAATTAGCAAGCCTAGCAATATTTGTCATTTTTTATTTATTTGTTATTTTATTTTGTTTATCCTATTGAGTTTTTGTACTTTCATATAATTTTATTGTGCTTTTTATATATTTTGTGTACCTTTGGCATTGTTTTGTATGTATTTATTTATTTTTTTAATTGGAAATCTGGATAATTAATATTATCATATTTTTATATTATCATGAAATCAAACAAAGAGATTTACCAAAGTCCTAAGAATTCCCAGCACTGACAATGGTTAATTCCTTTAGAATAAGAAAAATATCTCATGAAAATTAAGGATCCAAATGAGAGTTTTCATCAGAGAATTTTTTTCTTAGTCTAGAGAGTTTACTTATTTAATTATCTAAACTACTTTTCCATAATGAACCTATTGTGAAAATAAAAGGTTAAAATAGATTTCAAGAGCTTTTAACCACCAGTTGACTGACCCATATACTGTTTTCTGATCTTCTGGACTATCTGTAACTGTTTCTAAAGTGCATGTAGCTAAGCTTACATAATATGCATAGCAGACCAACAGCTGTTGCTGAGATGACTATGCATTTAGATCAATGGTCAGACCGGACAGAGGAGCTAAAATAAGCAAAAAACTTTAATCAGTAAAGTGTTTCATATTTTGTTAAGGAAAATGATTTTTGAAAGACTACAATAGAAACTTTATTAACTTTTGGAAGCGCAACAATTAAAAACAAACACGAGCAGTCAAATAAAGATTGTTGAGTGGTAACTTTCTACTAACATTAGATATTAAATTATTGTCCTATTCGCCAACTTGACCTAACTTGTAGGCCCATGGTCATACTTGTTAATACTTGTAGGCCTATATTTATGTGCATTTTTTGTTTTTTTTTAGAGGATCAACCTATTTTGGTCTACAAAATCAAATCCAAAGACATGGTTCAAAGTCTGTCTTGTGTCTATAAGCATCTGCTTTTTTTTAAAAAAAAGAAAAAATCATAGTTACTCATTTCCTTGACCCTTATTGGGTAACTCAACCATCACTGATCCAATATTGACATAACAAAACAGCAGATTCATCTTCCCTAACTGTCTGTTTTAGTTGTTGCTACAATATTTATCATAGGCTAGTGAAAGTGATGACCTCACCGCTGCCCCGGGATGAGTGATTTTTCTCTTATTTAAATAGAAATATATTAAGTTATCTGAGCTAATATTGTACTAAATGGATATTGGCAGTTCACCTTTAATGGATTTGAAACGTTTGATGACAGTTATGCAATGACAATGTTTGCATGAGAATCACAAACTCTTATCACACTGACACTCCAACATTGTTTACAAAGTTGTCAGAGTTTTTCCTCATGTTCATAAGTAATGAATGTGGTCAAATCATATCTATCCACATCTGATGCAAAAAATCAAACTGAATATTTGAGATTCAAAATGTAATTTAATCTTAGAAGTTTTTTTTTTTGGATAAATGATAGTAATGAAAATACTAAGACATTGTCTCATCTAAAAAGCAGGGATTCAAACATCACAAAATAAAAGTGCAACCGCAAGTACTAATTATTTGTCACTTCAAATCTTTGATCTCTATCTTTAAACCGCTACTCATTTGTCAGCTAGATGTTTTTTTTATAGTAAAACATGAAACAATTTAATATAATCACTCACATTTTTATATATTTTATTAAGAACAGATAATAATATAAATTTTTATTGAAATATGTTTCACTGAATGATTATGGAACAACATTGCACATTTAGATTTTTATTCTCACACTTTATGTTCCTTTAAGCTTCAAGTTTATAAACTTTACAAACTTTTAGTTGTTAGGCTGATAACTTCATAAAAAAGTGCATCAATTTGTGCTGTAATGTTATGTGAAACAAAAACGTGTTATATATTAGGAATGCGCTCTACAGCTGCTCCATTTCTGTCCACTAATGAGTTTTGTCACCCTCTTCTGTCACTCACAGAGGTTCATAAATGACCCCCTGTTGCCAAAACACAAATTCTGAGGTGCCATTCTACATAGGTGTTATATTAGCTGTCAATAAAGCGTTGTTTCCTGTAAACTTATCTGAAAATACTCTTCCAAGTACAAAATTTCCAGTTATTACCTTTCAAAAGGTGACAGTATGTTAATTGCATTTTTGTATTTTTGTCATAAGGATATTTGCAAAATGAATGGCAACAAAAGTATGTTTTCCATCAGACTTGTGTGTACTTATGTTACACTTTTATGTACAGTTGTCATATCTATTGATTTCAGACGACCAAGTCCAAACAGCTGTTCTCCTGTTAACCTTTTCTACGGTCTGTTTTAGATCTCTATTTCACAACACATGTGCTAAAACTGCTTCTCTGTTTCTGCTGATGAGGCTGTTTTTTTCCTCCTATAATGTTACCATGTTGGGTTTCCTTTATCTGGTTTTAACTATGGATGTTCTGGACCATCTGTGCATGATTTGTGGTAGCAATAAGATGAGGTGTAGCAAAGTGTTCTGATGTCTTTGTACTCAATCTGTGGATAATTCTGAATACTAATGATGCTTTTTCAGAAAGAGAGAGAGAAAGAAAAAATAACATTTTTATTAAATACATTTTGTGTCTGTGTTGATTTTAAAACCTGCTGGTATACTTTTCAAATGTATGACTATATGCATAATTTTAAATGGTCAAAATGGTTTCAAGTGATAAAAAGTTTGCATCAAATAAAAATGTTTTTAAAAAATGTTTTGCTAGAAATCATTGACAGTGTTAAGGTAAAAATAATTAATTTACACACAAAAAAATGTTGATCTGGAATTACATCATACTGACATAACCTGACCGGTTTGTGTGGGCTTTACATAGAACAGTGTCTTTATTGAGTACATACAATAGGCTATTAACATTCAAAAAAGAATTAATTAAATTTCATTAAAGAACTTATTAAAATTAGATAAATAGATACAAAAACTCATTTTACTGAATTCCTCAGTAATTAACAGCCACTTCTGTCGTGGTAAAGTTAGGAATTTGTACTTTCTCCTCAATAATATATAAATTGAGAAAAGTATTGTTTGCCAATTTAAATATGGAAATCATATTAGCAGATAGCCATGCACGGAATTTCAACATTGTTCACAATCATTTAATTATGGTAATTTACTATAATTATGTTTAAAGAGAGCTCATGGTATCCTATATACACCCCAGATCACCCATTGTACTCTGTGTTTTAGCAGCTGCCGTCAGGACGTTGTTTTAGAGTTTGTAATGGTGGCCATTATGTCATTAAATGAGTTCAGCAGGGAGGGAGATGCACCCAAAAAATTATGTATTGTATGTTGTGTGGTAATATTTTGTTGATTTCTACATGGAACTTCGCCTGTGTTACGGCACCTTGCTGCAATTTTAGTTTCCCTGAACGTAATTTAAAAAGTCCTAATGTTGTTTTGAAGTCATACTTACATGCTAATTCAGACCCAACATTCATAGGGGTAAACAATTTAGGAACAAGCTGTCACTGTTTAAAAATGATCAAATGTGCGATTATAAAACCAACTTTACCTCAATTTTATACTATTATGGTTTGAGAGAGAGAAAAAGAAAGCAAAACAAAGTGCGCTGCTGACTGCATTAAGCTAACAAATAGCAAGAGGACTCCATTAGACTCCCATGACAAGTTTCATGTAACTTACTGTGGGAAGAGAAAGCAAATAATTATACATAATATCTAAATATTCTTTCCTGTCGAAACTGTCTAAATAAGCATGCAGTGATGTTATTAAAAGATGGTATTTACCACAGTTTTGAGGGTCAAAACCAGCTGTTATTGCTGACCAATATAATAAGTATTTTCTTACTAGTCTTTGCATGTGGTTTTGACTTTGTCTAGCATGTGATTGGCATGCTGGATACAAATTTTAGATTGATTTATGCAAGTGAAGGCCAGAAACAACTAGACAGAAACCTTGAATGTCAAATACAGACCAGTGACATTAGTACCTTTCCCTGAAAAAACAGTGACCTTCCATGAAATGTGTTCCTGCAAAATAAAAAAAATAAATAATAAAATCTTTCTTTTGTTCCCAGCTATAGCTATAGTATACTGTGACTTTATATCTTACAGTTTCATGTTATAATTGTGCATTTATAAGTTAGCATCTTGAAAAGTTGTTCTCAGAGTTTGAGGTTTGTGTTTCAGTGTTAATTTGAGATATAAACTCAAAATTTTTGGAAATAAAGTAATAATTCTGGGATTACGTTTATTCGCAACTCTAAGTAATAAAGTTTGTAATGGAAACTTCAGAATTGCGAGACGTAAACAATATGAAAAAAACCTTGTAGTAATTCTGAGACATAAACTCAGAATTCAGAGATATAAACAAAACTGCATATTGAGATAAAACTCAGAGATGTAATTTTAGAATTTTCTAATTTTAGAAAGATGACAGAATTTGTAGATTTAAAACCAGTTGTGAGATGTAAAGCCAGAATTGTGAAAGGAAAATGACCTGTGCTATAAATCAAACATTTTGCATTTTTTTATAATAATTATTATTATGATAAATCAATTAGAACTGAGAGAATCAAAGTCACCAATTATCTACAGAATGTTAAAGCATGCAGAGGTTAGTGGGTTCATGTTTAGAGGGAAAAGTGTTGGATATTTTTATAACAGCATGGGGCTTTACAGTCTCGGCCTACTGACCCCCTAGTGCTTTCAGTCACGTGACAGCCATTGATCAGCAAGGGGTGCATGCATGCCCCAGTAGCCGGCCATGATTGGTCCAAACAGGTAGTTCACGTGAACACAGGCTGATCGTCTGCAAAAATGTAATTGTGGTACCGGTAAGCTAAGAAAGTCACTCATGCCCCACGAGGCTTTTACTGAGCGTTGAAGCTGCGTTCACTTACAAGAGACACTGGGCTTGATGAAGAAGTTTGACCTAATTTAAATGCCGTAACACAGGTATGCATTAACTTGTGCTTTTCAGGTTGCTTCTTTGTAATTAATTTAAAACATAAAAGGAATTACAAGTGAATGCACTGCATTGAATCGTGCCCCAGCACGCAGGCTTTTTTAATCTAAGAAGGGAGGAAACTTTATTAAACACTGTCGTGCTCAGGGAAACAGCTACAAACCAGGAAGAACATGACACAAAACGACAAAAATGATATTACGCTTTAAAAACATATGGAAAAACTATATCGCATGCGTTTTCGTTTTTAAAAAGATTCGCCGATTAAAACAGCTGGAGTTGACCGTAGACGAAGGAAGCAGCATGATAAAGCGTGATGGTATTTTGGACCCGGGAGAAAGTTGAAACTGCAAATGAGCTCCAACAGGTGTGAATCTAACGATTTGTTTCATTCATGTTTATTGTGATTATCTACGATATCAATTAAACCACTTTCTTATAAAAATGAAAGGTGAGTTTATCTCGTGCTTTACCTAATCAGGCGGAACAATGTTACATTGTTCCAGACCGTATATGGAAACAAGCTTAGACTTGCTGTGTGGTAAAAGTTTGTTTCATGTAATAGTTGGCTTAAATTAAGTTATATTTCTATATTTGGATGTTTATAAGTTTGTAAAATCTACAATAACTAAAATTACTTGCACCATTACTAAATAAAGAAGACGATTTATGCATAGTTGTGCGTGAATTTAATGTAGTCATCAATAGTTATTTAAACAACTTTAAATCATATAAATGTTCGTTAATGTTAACAGTGTATAGCTTAGTTGTTCTTACAAGTGTGTCCATTATAGGCCATACACCACAATCAATATGAGACTGATACAAGTGCACTGTAAAAATAATGCAACAGCCCTCCACATCTTTCCAGACATGACGTTGTAAGTTATGTAACTCGCTTGTCATTTCATAAACTGAGAGTATTACAGCTCACCTTGTCTCCCAATACTCTCAAAATGTAGGCTTTCATAAAGATATTGTCAATTACTATTAGTAATATATCCTTGTATATAGTCCAGCTTGGCTTATGTGCATATTTTTCTTCTAATGATAACGTTTTATAATTTATGAACACTAGAGGGTGCACACTATCTTTGTGTAGTACAACCTCTCTGGGTTTCAATATCCACTCTCCGGCCTCGAGCTAAGATAAACTTGTTTGACTTGTAGACCCACTTATTGCAGTCGTTTGCGTAATGTTTAATTCTTTCATAGAGTCTATATTAAATCCTAGTTGCTGTGCATAAAGGTTTAATTGCTTCATACTGAGCCTATATGAGTTACTTCATCCTGAGGTACTTTAAAGTATGAGGGTAAAATTTAAATTAGTCATTCATTGGAAGATGTCATCAGCAGTATTCACAGACCAGGGGTGCACTCTTTAAGCTTCTCTTTAGCTTTTTAGCTTCTTTTTGAGGGAAGCTAATTTTTAGGAATGCAAACCCCTCGTGATGTATTAATTTGGTTACTAATACATGTTTTTTTTTATTTCAGTGCACGTAGCTGCCCTCCCAAAGAATCTACCATGCCTATCGAACTGGCCATGTCGCTTTATCTGTCAAGCGATGAGTTCCTGAACCCAAGGGCATCTAAATACAGCAGGCCCTTGCAGCCATGTCTAAACCAGTGTAAAAGCTCCAAACTTAGTTTTAGCTCTCTTAAGGAGCAGTCCGAGTTCAATGGGGTCAGCAGAGCCTTGATGATACCTGGCAGGGCCAAAAAACATGTCTCTTTTGCTGATCACAAGGGCCTCGCTCTGACCGTGGTGAAGATATTCTCTGAATTCGATGACCCCATTGACATCCCAGACAACATCGATAATTTTTTCACCTCTTCGCTGACTGTATCAGAAGGAAAGGACAAGTTAACCCTCGATTTTGACCAGCCATCTGCCGATTACTTGAAATTCCGTCAACGAATAGAAAATGATCATGTCTGTCTCGAACACTGCATGCTTAAGGAGAAATCTATAATGGGCACAGTCAAAGTTAAGAACATTTCCTTTGAGAAGTCTGTTAAGCTTCGCATTACATTTAACACTTGGAAGAACCACACAGATGTAGAATGCCAGTACGTAAAGGACACTTACACCGGCTCAAACCGAGACACTTTTTCATTTGAAGCTAGTTTGCCTGAACAGGTGCCCTCACATGAACGCATCGAGTTCGCTATTTGCTATGAGGTCAATGGTGATACACTCTGGGATAACAACCAAGGAAAGAATTACAGAATCATTCAGTCAGCACTGAGGAAGAGTTCAAATGAATCTAACGGTGGGCATCAGCAATATTCCCAGAGCGACTGGGACATTCATTTTGACCGATATGGCAGCCCCAGATGCTCCCGTGGAATTTTTCCCCATTGGCCAAGCTATGTTGGATATGAAGATATCGGCCCGTATTATTAAGAATCTACTTTTGGCGTGGTCTATCATGCTCGCTTATCCATAAGACATTGTAATGAATGCCACTTCAAAATGACACTTTAAAAAACACAGCAGGTTTGATGTTCTAATCCAAGAACTTGTCGGACTCTGAAGCCATATAGACTCTTGAGATATTTATTGTTAATAATGGATTACATTGTGCAACAAAATGAGTCCTGTTTTTAAAAATACTGTTCCTGGTGCGATACTAATGTAATTATGCGGGTAAATTTGTTTATTTCTAGTGCCTGTCAAATGCTAGTTTTTGCGCAGGGTTGTGTAAATATTTGGGTTTGCGTTGACCTGTAAAAATAATACAATGTTAAATAGTGTAAGTGTCAGTGAATCTGCAGGCCAGTATGTTTGCTGTAAATCATGAAGAAAAATTTATTGACATGTTTGATATTTTTTTTTTTTTCGAGAGAAAGACAAATTCCTGAAGGCAGCATCACTTGACGAACAAAAAGAGAAGAAATGTGTTATTTCCCTAAAAAATGTGAGATTAGAGATGAACTCAGTTTACATACATTGATGCAAATTCTTTCATATATATATATTTTTAATGTACAACTCTAAAGGTATTTACATTTCTGTATTTTAATTGACTATGGTTTATTCTCACTGTAATTGACTGCACAACAGGATATTGATATTAGTGATTGTTAATGTGTATTATAATGACATTTGTTCTTGGTAATGTATGCACTTTAATTTCTTGCAGTGTTTAATTTCTTTTCACCCATTTTAAATTGTGAATGCAGGTTTGACAGAACCACTTGAAAATGTTGTAAAAAAGTTCTCTCAGCGGTATTCGGTATGTTCAAATGTTGTGCATTTTAATGCAATGTTTTAAATGTTCATAGTCATTGAAAATTTCAAATAAAGTATTAGCAGATGAAAGAATTGATTTGTCTGACTCCTTGTTGAAGGTCAACACAAAGTCAACACCGTTTGGTTTAAAGTTTGTATATATTTGTCATTTTTGGTTCACTAAATAAAACAAATGGGCAGTTGGACACTTCTTGACTGGCATGTCCAGGCTCACGTAGGTGTGTTCAGGCAAGTTGGAACTAAACTTTGGAGGACAATGGTACTTCACGACCTTGTTTTGAGACTCTTCTTTTAAAAAAAAAAAAAAAGGAGATGTTTTTGATAAATAGACACATTTCTTTGATAACTGTGTTCCTGACACCACTCTCAGTATTTTTTTTTTCAGTTTGTTTATAATCTATGAACAATTGTATTGTTTTTTGTATTGTCAGTTGTATAGTGCCTGAGTTTTAATGGACCTGTGTTGCCAATACTAATAAAAGAAGGAAGTTGACGCTTGGAAAGACTTTTATTTTTTAAAGTAAGCAGTGGAATGCATTATTTTTTTTATTATGTGCAATAAAATAATCAAAAAATTGATGGGGCTTTTATTTTATAAATGCTCGACCATCACTCTGACTACTTCCTGTGGAAGTTGAAACGTCAGTGAGTGTCAGCGGCAGCGTGATTCACGTTTGAGAAACTAACTGCACGCAACCAGAAGTTTTACTATCAGGCACCTATTTATATCAAAATGTACATGCAGCAAACTGAAGACATCGAGACGAGCATTTAGTGTTGAAATATTTTAAAGTGGATTAAGTACATGTAACGTTAGAGACACCGCGACGCTTAACGCGCGAAACCAGATGTGAGTGTTTCTGAAATGATCTAACGTTACTAGACTTTCAGATCTGATGGAGACGAAGGAAAAGAGCCGTAAACCTCCAAATAAGACTCCACAGTCTGAAGGAGATCAGGAGGATCAACCCTGTCCTGATGTAAGTATTAGACATCAGCAACAGCAGTAACTTCACTTAGGGACTGTCAGTATCGCGTAGCTTTAGCTAACATCAATGTGTAACGTTATGTCAAAAACGAAAAGCGGCTTTTTAGCACCAGAGGGATAAAACTCTTACTTTTATATAATTTTGTTTAAAGTCAGTTCTGAAAGTGAACAGATAACGTTATATCAAATTATTTAGGGTGTTGGCGGGGTCTTAAAATATCTTAAATCTTAAGAACCGTAAAAGTCTTAAATTTACTGAAATATTGTGTTGTAGGTCGTAAATCTTTTAAAACAGGTTTTCATTTTCCTTTTTTCATGTATAGCTACCCATTAACACCTTTACAATCACCAACAATCGATCTCAAAAAAACTTTTTATTTAGGTAATCTTTAACTCTATTTACCATAATTAATTATTTTCCTCATAATAATATTTGTTTAAACGTTCCCCATCTGAGGACGGTTGTGCATGCAGTTTATTAGTTTATTATAGTTTTTAAAACATTTGTTCATTTTTTTTTTTTTTGGAAAGTTTACACTGAAAAAAGTGTATGTTTACAACTAGAACTTGCTTGTTTTGACATAATATTAAAAATTTATATTTAAAATATTTTTATTTGTTATTTTAATAAATTATAATAGTATTATTAAATATAGTTAATTTTAACAAAAATTGTCAGAGCAAATATAAATATTTTCCATCTGGGCCATTTTAAAAAGTCGTTGGTGTTTAGTCCTGTATAAGCCTAAAATTAAAAAGTCTTAAATTTAACTTGCAAACCTGCAAAAACCCTACAGATAATCAATATTACAGATCATAAACTTACTTGGTAGATGACACAATTGGTTATAAGTGTTATAAATGCACCAGTAAGACATAAAGTCGTACATTTTCTCGCTTACATTATTGGACCGTAAGAAAGAAAATCATTACATGTCAACTTCTTGCATTAATGACTAAATTGTTTGTAATTGGAGAAACATTCCCATTCTCGCCTTACATTTACATGATTTGCCTCTGTCCAATTTTGACCACTTTTCTGGTGAGGCTTTATTAATATAGGTTATGCTAGCAAGATGTAGTTTGTTGATGTTGACGTTGTTGATATAACTAATATCTGTAGAGGCATAAATTATTTATTATTTTACAACATTGAGGGAAAAATCTTTATCTAATAGAATGAGACAACAACACTAAACAATGCTGTTGTTTTTTTTATTTCTCTTTTAGACTTCCTGTGAAAAAAATGAAGATCAGGAGCCTTCCTCACCAAAACAGGGAGAGTTCAGTGATCCGGTGTATAAAGAGATTGCATTGGCAAATGGTGCCATCAACCGAATGAACAGAGAAGAGTTGCGTGCGAAATGCACAGAGCTGAAACTTGACACACGGTAATAAGAGCTATTTGTTTTATATAGTTGCTTTACCTGATGCCGTATTAGGGTCAACGTGTTTTTCAACCACACATTAGAATGTGTCTTCTTTACTTTATTATTTTATGCGCAAAAAACTGTGCCAATCATACATTATTGTCCTGATTTATAGAAGACCACTGAAGTGTCACTCAGTGTAGTGTCATTCAGTGCAACTATGGTTTATACTCTAAAAAGTCTTGTTGAGCATATTTAGAACAAGAATTGCTTGATGCCATATTAAAAGACTATATTTAATAGTTGCAATGCAGCCACAAAATATTAAGCAATTTTCATTTTAAGTCGTTGTACCACTTGATTTTACTCATTTGTCAGCAAAAAGCTTTTAATCAATTAAAATGTAATACAATTGAATATGATGACTTTTATATAGTTCTAATTACAAATCAGAATTAATATGGTAACTTGTTTTTACATTAATTTATTTGTTAAGTTTTTAGTGATAAAAAACATTTTTATTTTACCCATATTTTCCACACGGCGACATTAAAGTAGGCATTTTAATTGCATTTGATTTACTTTCTATGAACGTGAAATGGTTTCTTATTTGTAACGCATTCACTCATACAGTTTGTCTTTACTTTGCCTTTTTAGTGGAGTTAATGATGTCCTAAGGAAGCGCCTCAAAAGCTACTACAAAAAGCAGAAGTTGATGCATTCACCTGCTGCAGAAGGGAACAGTGACATGTACTTTGACTACATCTGTGTGGTGGATTTTGAAGCAACATGCGAAGAGAATAACCCACCAGATTACCTCCATGAAATCATTGAGTTCCCCATGGTGTTGATCGACACACACACACTGGAGATTGTGAGTTGGTGAGGGAGCGGTCTGGCAACCTTGTGCATGATTCTTGCCAGGCAAAAATGATTCCATAAAGTGTAGTCTAGTAATTTCTGATTTCAAAGCATTTCTTCAAGTGTATTTTTGTTAGGAATATGTTCAAATATGTTGTGTTCGAATCTCATTCTTGTCATTGCAGGTAGACTCGTTTCAGGAGTATGTGAAGCCAGTGCTGCACCCACAGCTCTCTGAGTTTTGTGTAAAACTTACCGGAATAACGCAGGCAAGATTTAACAAACTGTGTATTTAGTTAAGTGGTAATTTAATTTGCATACAATTAAATATACAATGGCGACGCAGTGGCGCAGTAGGTAGTGCTGTCGCCTCGCACCAAGTAGGTTGCTGATTCAAGCCTCGGCTGGGTCAGTTGGCATTTCTGTGTGGAGTTCACATGTTCTCCCTGCATTCGCGTGGGTTTCCTCCGGGTGCTCCGGTTTCCCCCACATTCTAAAGACATGCGGTACAGGTGAATTGGGTTGGCTAAATTGTCCCTAGTGTATGAGTGTGAATAAGTCTGTATGGATGTTTCCCTGAGATGGGTTGCAGCTGGAAGGGCATCCGCTGTGTAAAACGCATGCTGGATAAGTTGGCGGTTCATTCCGCTGTGGCGACCCCGGATTAATAAAGGGACTAAGCCAAAAAGAAAATGAATGAATAAATATACAATTTTATACACAAGTTTGGGATCAGCTCAATTCAATTCCTGTTTATTTCTATCATGCTTTTACAATGTAGATTGTTTCAAAGTAGCTTAACATAGATTTTCCAGTGAATTGAAAATGTATCAGTCCGGTTTTTAGAGTTGAAGTGCAGTTTAGTTTATTTCAGTTCAGTGTGGATTCAATTTCACTACTGAAAGTCCAATCACTGAAGAGCAAATCCATCGATGCGCAGTTCCACAAGTCCCAGACCAAGCAAGCTAGTGGCAACAGTACATTTGATGCATTCAAAAAAATCTCTAAATGTTTTGGAATATATTAAAATAGAAACTGTCACTTTAAACTACTTATAGTTCATGAATTGTTATTAGTCTATTTTAATCAAATAAATGCTTCCTTATAGAGAAATTAGAGACATTAGAGAAATTGTAACAATTACACTAGGGCTGCTTGATATTGCAAAAGTGTGACATTGTGATATTTTATTTTTCTGCGATAAGCATTGTGGTATAGGATATTCTCATAAGGTAATTTAAATAGCACTATTTGATGGTTCTCTAAGAAGTCTAACAGTATTCAGATTCAGAAATTGAATAATAACGCTTTTCTTACTTTGCTTTGTCTTGTTTATAGTCCAAATATCTAAAAGTTCTTAATTTAAGTAAAAAATTATGTTTTGTTTTTAACTTATTTTTATTTTTCAAGTTTTTCCACAAAACAAACTAAACTATCTGTCAGTGCGGCAAGTAAAATGATTTTGTTTTTTGCTTTATAATGTAAATATTTGGACTAGAGATAAGACAAAAATTCTAAGTAAGAAAAACCTTTTTTTAGTTCCTAGCTCCTTCTCAGCTTTAATTTAGACTCAACATTGCATATCTTGCAATGCGACTTTTGCGGATCCACACATTGGGATGTTAGGATGTCAGTGCTGAAACGATATATTGTGCAGCACTAAATTATACAGACCACAAACCTCTGAGTAGTACATGATTTTCATGCTTTTCATATAGATTTGTCTTATTTTAGTATTATATTATTATGTCTTTACAGTATATAGTTTTATCTTAATGTTGAATGGAAGGCAATAGCTCAAACTTTAATATCTTATTCTCAATTATTTTCCAGGAAATGGTGGATGAGGCAAAAACATTCCATCAAGTTTTAAAGCGAGCAATTTCTTGGCTTCAGGAAAAAGAACTGGGCACAAAATACAAATATATGTTTTTGACAGACGGGTGAGGATGAAACTGACATTTTAATCTCTATTACAAATAAATGCACAACAGAAATGCAAGCAAAGTTAAGAGCAAAGTGTCACCAGAAAATGTTGTATTAATGCTAAAAATCTTATTTTATTTATATGTTAATTTGTTTGTTGTTTTTAATTGTATATTTATTAATGAAATGTTCTTGCCATAAAAATTGTTGCCAACATGGCATTAAAATAAAATTTCATCATCATCATTAAATGCACAACGAAATTTACCAAACAGCTCACTACTAGTCTTGTCTGTGCAGGTCTTGGGACATGGGGAAATTTCTTCATACACAGTGCAAACTGAGTCGCATCAGATACCCACAGTTTGCCAGAAAATGGATCAATATCAGAAAGTCTTATGGGAATTTTTATAAGGTTTGTTTTCCTTTTTACTACATCGCATGGTAATAGAAGAATAGGCCTGTTTACACCTGGTGTTTTTCATTGATCTGATCACAAGAGGGCGACACTAAACCAATCTATATGGGGTCTAAGGCCCCGTTTACACTAGTGCGTTTTAGTTTTAAAACGGCGTTTTAGAATGAAAACGATCCGCGTCCACACTCGCGTTTTACCCAGCGTTTCTGAACAGCTCTCCGTCCACACCAAAACGCTGAAAACGCACATCACGTGACCACACACACACACTTTGGCAATCGCTGGAGCCCATCTACCCTGATGAGAGCTCTGCTAGTCGGACTTCTCATCAAGCATCTCCCGCTGGATCTAATCTCACTATATTTATTAAACGTGATATTTCATTCATCTTGTTGTCTTTATCTAACGACATATTCCCTGACTTTGGTCATTGGAATCTATTACTTGTTCTCAGGTAACGTGTTTTGGCTGAGCGCAAAGATAAGTTAATGATTAATGTAAGCACGTAGCCTACATTCTGTATATTGACTGATCGCTTGCCTTTATTTCCTATAATGTATAAACTTATTGTATGTTATACTTTTATAATGGCCATTATCGATTATTAAAACTGATATTCAGCAAAAGAGAGGGTGTGTTTCGTATTTTCACTGAAATTGAAAGGAGACAGTTGTTATCGGCTCCGTTTTGTTATAAATATGCACACAGTGAAGATGACGCTCATGCAGCACGACGCCTCAACATTTCTGCTGTCTGTTTAGTTGTTAATATTAAAATAAAAATAGGCAGTTCCTTATATCAAGTTTACATTTTATTGTTGAGAAAGTGAAACAACGTAGCCAGGGTGATGTGAATGAAGTTATAAAGTACACTGTTCCCTGTGAAGATTGACGCGTGTCCTCGGTATGTTTTCCATATCAAACTGAGAAGAAGAGATGCAGCCTTGATCAAACTTGCGAAGTCTGAACTTACACAGAGAAGATTCAGGACTGAACTGTGTGTTAGGCTACTTAATATTGAGGAAAAGCCCCAATCAGAGAGGCGAATGTCTGCAGCCCCGCCTCCATTTTCAGATGTCTCCGTCTTTCCCCATCCACACTGAGACGGAGCAGCAGCGTTTTAGAATGAAAACGGCCTCTCCAGCGTTTTCGAAACTCTCCGTTTTCGGCGCTCGAGAACTCCGGCGTAGTGTGGACGGATGGCGTAACCGTAGCAAAACTTATGCGTTTTCAAACTAAAACGCACTAGTGTAAACGGGGCCTAAAACATCAGCTTGTCCATTGTCATGCAATTCCAGACATACACTATCTGACAAAAATCTTGTCGTCTAAGTTTTAGGAACAACAAATATTATCTTGGCTTCTAGTTGATCATTTGGTATCAGATGTGGCTTGAATGAAAAATTATTTACCAAATTTACCAAAATTAAATATGATTATACCTTTTTGATTTTCAATTATTTAATTAGGACAGTAAGATCTGACTTTGCTTAGACAAAAATCTTGTCACTCAACAGAAATAATGTACAGTATAGAATATAAAGTCATGTTGCAGTGGAAAATAATGAATATTGTATTGTATTGAATATTGTGTGGACTGCATCCATACAGCTCTGCAATGACTCAGATAACATTAGTAGAGTCATCTGGAATGCCAAAGAAAACGTTCTTGCAGGACTCCCAGAGTTCATCAAGATTCTTTGTATTCATCTTCAATGCCTGCTTCATCTTACCCCAGATATGCTCAATAATGTTCATGACTGGTGACTGGACTGGCCAATCCTGGAGCACCTTGACCTTATTTGGTTTTAGGAACTTTGATGTGGAGTCTGAAGTATGAGAAGAAGTGCTATCCTGCTGAAGAATTTGCCCTCTCCTGTGGTTTGTAATGTGAAGAGCAGCACAAATGTCTTGATACATCAGGCTGTTGATGTTGCCATCCACTCTGCAGATCTCTCACATGCACCCATACTGACTGTGACCCCAAACCATGATTTTTCCTTCACCAAACTTGACTGATTGCTGTATGAATCTTCGGTCCATGCAGGTTCCAATAGATCTTCTGCAGTATTTGTGATGCACCTCAACAGGCGATTCATAGGAAAAATTGACCTTCTGCCTCTTTTTCAAATGATCAACTAAAGTCAAGTTATTATTGTTTGCTTTTATAACTGGGATCGACAAGACTTTTGTCAGTCAGTGTAGTCAAAAAACATCTGATCTGCTTTCATCGTGTAGACACTTCTATGGTTCAATGTGTTTGATTGACCTTATTCTCAAACATTAAATTGTTCAAGCTAAATTTGCAAAAAGCACATTTTCTTTGCCATTCCTGATTGTAACACAAGCACAAAGCAATTTGCGTCTATCAAAGCAGAAATGTTGCTTCTCTCTATATTGCGTTTTGTTGTGTCCTTTCATATTCCTATTCTACAATATTATACTGAAAGTGGACAAAATTGACAGAAAAAAACCCAAAAACATTTGTCAACAACAATCCCTTGTCTACCTGTGATCCCACTGACCAAAATGCATCAAGGACCAAGTAATTTTAACATCTAAATTGTATGAATGATATGAAAAATGAAAGTTGAAAAATATAATATTCAGTGTATGTTCTGAATCTCTCTCAGGTTCCTCGTACTCAGACGAAACTGATCTGCATGCTGGAGAATCTGGGGATGGAGTATGATGGACGTCCGCACTGTGGTCTAGATGACTCACGCAACATTGCCAGAATCGCCATCCACATGCTGAAGGACGGCTGTCAGCTGAGGGTGAATGAGTGCTTGCATTCAGGAGAACCGCGGAGCGTGCCTATCTCTGCCCCTATTGAAGGAGCACCAGCACCTCAGCCCCCCAAAAAACGAGACTAGAAAGACTCTTTGCCAAAAAAATAACAACAAATATGAAAACCTGCCATGTTGTGGAAAAATGATCTAGATTAATAAATATTGAAATATTTGCTGAGAGAATTGTACATCATAACAGATGATGAAGCTTCACCATTACAGCAAATTGGTTTCATGTACTGTATTTGGAACTTGCTCCTGAGAAACATACACTGCAGGAAGTGTTTATTTCCAGCCTGATGGGTAATTAGTAATTGTTGTATTTTTTAAAATCCCTATTGCACATACATTTTGCAGCTCTGCTCTACATGTATTATTTTGCCAATAAACTTTTTAGTGATGGTGAGATTGTACAATAGTATTGTTATTATTAATGTTATCAATTTTACAAGAGAAGAGATGTAACAATTATATATTATTTTAATTCCCGTAATCTTTATATTTGCTGGTGCATTACGTTGTGCTTATGTATTCAGGTACTTTACCCTTTTTGTCAAAGTTTAGATCTGTTTTGGTTATGCAATGAGATTTGTCAACACAAAGTTCACAGCTTCTGGCATCCATATCTAATTTCCCAAGGCCATGAAATAACCTTGATAGGAAAGCTGAGCATGAATCACAACCATTCTAATAGACTGAAGTCCTTTTTAATGTTATTGGTGTATGTAAATACATAAATTATATAATAGGAGAGTATGTTGCTATTTCTGTTTGTTTAATTAGAATGATGCACTCACTTATCAACAGTAATGCAGCTTTGCATGTTGTCCAGCAGAGGGCGTCAGATAACTTCTGGAAATAAACATAAACACCACCAAGCCCACTAATAAAGTCAACAAGGAGACAGGAGGGCTTTCCCCCAAATAAGGTTGTTTCTTTACTTATACTTTTATTTATATCAAATATTTGCTACAATATGCTATTTATTTATAATATTTTGTTTCGGTTTGTTTGTGCAAAGACTAAAGTGAATGCAAGCGTGATCCAGCTGTATCTCTTCATGTGGTGTGTTCTAGAAGCGTGCTGTTATTTACATTGGTCGACGCTCGGTGCTATAAACATGATGTGATTTACTGTTGGTTAAACCAAAACAACCGAAATGAGATTACCTTCACACCCCATCTTTAGTGCACGCGACACTGCTCAAAACCGCTGTCAACACGCGACGCCTCTGTCGTCATCATCCAGCTGACCAATCAATACCTTGTTTTAGCCAAGCGTCGCGTTTCGGTCGGCGTAAAGAAGGTGGGGCTTTGACGCAGTGTTGCTCCTGTGAGCGTTCACTGCTGGCTGCATGCGCAGAGAAGAGGCGGAGACACACAGGGAAAGACCACAGCAACCAAACACTGCTCCTCTTTCATTCTTACTGGATATGTCTTAGTTTTGTTTTCTCTCATGTGGTATCAAAGGACGCGCTGGCGGAACCGCCGGCCACACGGACTGGGTTGAGGTGACTTTAGATGCGCGCGTGTGGTTTTTATCTTGCGGTCGATGGCGCAGATAAAGAGGATGCGTGAAAGAACTCAGCCCAGCCCAGTTTTCTTCAATGCGATTGAACGGAGCTACACATTTTCGGATGAAGATGAAGTCAGCATGGTCTAAATGTTGGTTTCATCTGGACTGTTTTGCAGAGAACCTGAGTCGATGAAGCAAGTGAACGCAGCACTATGCTGATGATTGAGCACTGTGCTCAATGAGAGCTAGAAGGAGCACAGCTTCAATACGATGGCTGAGGAGACTAACCTAAAGACAGCTAGACTATGGAGGGATGCTGCTCTGCGCTCCAGGAAGCTGAGGAGCAATCTGAGACAACTGACTCTCAGCACCAAAAACAGCCAGAAGATTACATTACCCGAGGATATAAAGGAAATAGAGGTGCTCAATCTGGGCAACAACTCCCTTCAGGAGCTTCCAGAGGGACTGGGCTCAACCCTGACTAAGCTTCGCATCCTCATCCTTCGCAGGAATAAGTTTGCCATCGTTCCCTCTGCAGTATTTCAACTTAGTCAGCTGGTTGAGTTGGATATCAGTCACAACTGCTTGAACCACTTTTCAGAAGACATCGATCTTCTCAAGGGGCTTAAAAAGTTGTGCTTCAGTCATAACAAAATACAATATTTGCCATCGCAGATTGGGACTTTGCAAAGTCTGGAGGAGCTTGACATCAGCTTCAATGAGCTGCATGATTTCCCCAGGTCTTTTTCACAGCTCAGGAAGCTCAGAACACTTGATGTGGATCATAACAAGCTACAGCGCTTCCCTTCAGAAATCCTTGCCCTCAGTGATCTTGAGGAGCTTGACTGCTCTGGAAATAAACTAGAGGGTCTTCCGGGGAACATCATGATGCTTCAATCGATTAAAATCTTGTGGCTCAGCAGTACCCATCTTTTGTCCTTACCTGAAACGTTTTGCGAGCTGCAGAACTTGGAGAGCCTCATGCTCGATAATAATTTCCTCACCAGACTGCCACAATCATTCGGGAAACTGCAGAAGCTGAAAATGCTGAATCTCTCCTCAAACTCTTTTGAAGATTTTCCTCAGGTTATTATCAAGCTCACTAGGTTGGAGGAGTTGTATTTAAGCCGGAATAAACTAACGTTCCTCCCTGAGGAGGTAGGACAGCTGTGCAATCTTGCTAATTTGTGGTTGGACAATAATAGCATAACATTTCTCCCAGACTCCATTGTAGAGCTTGGGAAATTGGAGGAGCTGGTTTTACAGGGTAACCAAATCGCCATACTCCCAGACAATTTTGGTAAACTTGCCAAAGTCAACATTTGGAAGGTGAAGGATAATCCACTCATTCAGCCTCCGTATGAAGTGTGCATGAAAGGGATCCCCTATATAGCTGCCTATCAGAAGGAGCTTGCGCACTCCCAACCTGCTATAAAACCCAGACTCAAACTGGTTTTGATGGGCCAGGGAAATGCAGGGAAAACCACACTCAGGCAGTGTATTGTCAGCAAACAATCAGACACCAAGATGGCGATTGGATGTAGGGGTATTGACGTGACAAACTGGGTCGCAGATGCAAAACGAAGTCTTACGTTTATTGTATATGATTTGTCCGGTAAGCAGAACTATGATCTTATTAAACCCTTTTTCCTCTCGCCTGGAGCACTTTATGTTTTGGTGGTGAACCTGAAATTGTATACATCAAAGAGCTTCTACTCTCATGTCGGCAGCTTCCTCCACCTGCTCAGTGCCAAGGTGCCACACGCAGTTGTGTGCATCGTAGGGACCCACAGTGACTTGTGTGAAGAGGTTGAGGTTGAAGAAAAGTGCCTGGATATTCATAGGCAGATTTCATTTCAGGAAAAAATGGACATTGATTGCCTACATGTGCTCGCCCTGCAGGTAGATGAAGCCCTTGAGCAAGGTTATGATGTTCGGACTTCCACCCCCCATGTTCTTTTTTATGGGGTCACAGATAAAAACTTGAGACGTAAAAAGTCTCAGTTGCAATATATGCTCAACAATCGCCTACAAATCCTGTCTCCGGTGATTTGTGTCAGCTGCGTTGCGGCACAAAGGAACATCCAGCATTTAAAAGAGAAACTCATGTCTGTCGCCGACCACAGGGAGATTTTTCCCAATCTTCACAGAGTCCTGCCAAAGTCATGGCAGATGCTTGAGGAGCTGCATTTTAAGCCACAGGATTTATGGCTTTCCTGGTGGGATTCTGCCAGGTTGGGCCTTCAAGCTGGGCTGACAGAAGACCGCCTGCAAAGTGCGCTCTCTTACCTGCATGAGAGTGGTAAACTACTGTACTTTGAAGACAGCACGACGTTGAAGGAATATGTCTTCCACAATCTACCCCGTTTCATCGCCATCTTGAATGTGTTTTTCCAGAGAGACCTACCTGCAATGCTTGAGAAACTACAGGCTGAAGGAGATGATGGAGATAACGCGGTGTCTACTCAGATGCACAGTCATGTGGAGGGTTTTCTGTCACACGGTCTGCTGCCGTCAAATGTCATCCGCTTGCTGCTTAAACCCCTGGTGCAGACACAGCAGGACTTGCACCTGATCATGGAATTGCTGGAAAAGATGGGTGTTTGCTACTGTGTCAACAAACCTCGCTGCAAGCCTCTTAATGGGGCCACCGTCTGGTATAAGTTTCCCAGTCAGGACATCAACGAGGAGCCCAAACCTGAGGCATCGGGCAGTGGGGGCTTATCGATCCCTGGTCAGTTTTTCTCAGTTGAGCAGCTGCAGATTGAATACAGGTTTCCTTTCTTCACCCCTCTTGGACTTTTTGCACGGTTTAGCGTGCAAATCAACAGCCACGTCGTGCAACGGTCTGATGGAAAGCATCACATCTTTGCCTACCGAGGTAAAGTGCCTGTGACTGTGAGTTACCGGTCCTCTCGGAGCAGATTCCAGCCTGAGATCCTCTCCATATCCAGCCATGCATCCTTGCCAAATATCTGGACAGCTTGGCAAGCCATTATTCCCCTAGTGGAAGAGTTAAACGTTCTTCTGCAGGAATGGCCTGGCCTTCACTACTCTGTGCATGTCCTGTGTTCCAAGTGCCTGAAGAGAGGGTCCCCCTATCCTCATTCCTTTCCAGGTTAGTGTTTTGCTATTTTCTTTGGGAGTCTGTTTGATTTATGTGACTTGTGCCTATTGAAATTTAACAACCCTGTCTTGTTACAGTCACATACTTGCATTCATGTTACACAATTATCCAGACAAGAATGATTCATTGTCTTCTTTGAAACACAAATGAGATATATTTTAAAGGTTGTTTGAATTATTTTAGGCTATTGAATTAAAGTTAATGAGTTCTCATTTACTTTTATTGTGTGGACAACAGAAGCATTTATCTTGTTGTCGTTTATGTGTCACAGAATATGCATACAGATCTAGAATGACATGGGCGTGTGTAAATCTAAAAAGATTTTGAGTGATTTTATTGTTTTGACTGGATATTGAACAGGATGTTATGATGGAAAATAAGTCATTAACCAGATATTTTCACACATTCACCGTATATGGCTTGAGACTTATTAAATGGATGTAGTTTAACACTCATATGTAGTCATAAATCTCTCATGCATGTGTGCCAGAGCAAATAAAGAGTCAAATTTATTCTTCTGTGTTGAATCAGGCTATCTTTGCAGCACTTTCACCATGGAGGCGCATGTCTGGTTTGAATGCCAAGTAAACACTGATACAATAAAGGATGAATCAGCATGAAATGAAGTCATTTTGGGATGGATCTAGCCTGAACAAAGAGTGAGAATCCCTGGCCATGACAAGGGAGGTGGAAGGGGGGGGGGGTCTCACTGGGGTTTGAAGCCACACCTAGAAACACAAATTAGCTTGAGCTGTCTGCTGTGCTGCTGAGAGCACAGACTCACTCATCCAGCAGTGGAGAAGAGGGTTGTCTTGGTAATGTCATATGCTTTTCATTGTGGGATAGAGATTATTTATAGCAGAAATTGGGATAAATCCTAATCTAAACACTAGATTCATATAGAATACTTGATAAATCACAAAAAAAAATTTTTTTAGTAGATTTATAATAAAATACACATTTATATTCATGTGGTTGCTGTAGTCTGCAGGGTTGTGCTCTCATCCCCTTTCGTTTTGTCACGAGTAGTGGTGTCCCAAACGACACTATAGTATATACTTAGATGGTAAACACAAAACCTTGTGTCATCTTGTCCTTCATCGTCAGAGTATGACAGTCTTGCCTCCTTCATTACGTATACAATACATAGAGAGTTAAATGTCCAACCTAACTTCACCTTGACTTTTTTTTGTTTCTTTTTATTTAAATAAGAGCATCTTCCAGGAATTTTAAAGTGCACTTTCTCTTTGGAATTTTCAGTGTGCACGAGGGTTGTGTGATTAGGGGAAAATATCTAATTGTGATAAATATATACATATATATATATATATATATATATATATATATATATATATATATATATATGTATATATATATGTATATGTATATGTATATATATGTATATATATGTGTGTATGTGTGTGTGTGTTTGTGTGTGTGTGTGTGTGTACACATGTATACAGTTGAAGTCAGAATTATTCGACCCTGTTTCTGAACAGAGATTAAATAGATTTTTTTCAACACATTTCTAAACATAATAGTTTTAATAACCAATTTCTAATAACTAATTTTATTTTTGCCATGATGACAGTAAATAATATCTTACTAAATATTTTTAAGACACTTCTATACAGCTTAAAGTGATATTTAAAAGCTTAACTAGCTTAAAGGGGCTAATAATTTTGTCCTTAAAATGGTGTTTAAAATGAATAACTGCTTTTATTCTAGTCAAAATAAAACAAATAAGACTTTCTCCACAAGAAAAAAGATCAGGCATACTGTAAAAATTTCCTTGCTCTGTTAAATATAATTTGGGAAATATTTAAAAAAGAAAAAAAAAAAACTCAGAGGGGGGCTAATAGTTCTGACTTCAGAACTACATGTTCTTAAACCAAACAATAGTTGATTGTAAGGTTGCAAGCTCTCCATAAAGTCATGCGTATAGTCACATTGAATGGTGTAATATTTAATAAAGCATTTAAATCGTTAACTGCTTTAAAACACTGCTACTAATGCCTCTATATATAACTATCCTATGAAAATAAAATGACAAACTATATTTGTATAGTACATTACAGTCAGTCACTACAGACAGGGCACATACCTAGCACGAGCCGTGAATGCACGTGACATACACATAAAGTTATCAAAACATTAAACTAGTTTTTTGAAGCAACACTATTCCCATTTTAACAATGTCCTGCTTTTCTTTGATATTAATTAGTCTATTAATGTTTCTAAAGCAGCAGACAATCGCACAGCCCTAGTGTGAACATTAATTTGATTCTGTTTTAAGTATGTGCCATAATCCTTGTTTCGCATAAAGACACATAGGTTGGGTTCACTTTGGGCTTTTTGTTTCCTGACAGACAAAGATATAAAGATGTCCTACGCTTCTTTTTTCTAAAAGTGTAAAATGTAAGGCTGAATTCTTTTACTGGCAAATTATGAGTTATTCATAGCTTTTGGAATCACACTGAGAGATATTTATGTTCTTTGTAATTTGTGCTTATCCCCAGTGTTAAAATAGGCACATTGGGTGTTATTTTAAAAATAAAGTGGTGTTGGCGTGTGTAGGAGACATACCTCACCAAACACACCATGCACATTTTTGACAAATAACAGTCAAAGGCTATTTAGAGGTTATGTAATGAAGCCAGCCTTTTATGTCATTGCAAGCTAATAGTTTCACATGGCTTGCAAAGGAACCAAGTTTCACTATATGTTAAAATGTCCGTGTGAATCACTGAATAAAATAAAAAAACTAATTATAGGGGAAAAAAAATAAAAATAAATAAAATAAAATATGCTATACATATGCTATACATTTCTAAGAATTTTTTTTCCAGTCTAGTTTTGAAATTTATTGGAAAATTTAACAGTATATATGGATTTGTTGGTCAATTTTAATCTCATAAATGTAATTTTGTTTAATTTCAAATTTATACCTTATATATATTTTTTGTGCTACTGTATATTTTTTAGTGCGACATGGTGGCTCAGTGGTTAGCACTGTCACCTTAAAGCAAGAGGGTCACTGGTCCAAGTCCTGACTGGGTCAGTTGACATTTTTTGTGGAGTTTGCATGTTCTCACTGTGTTCACATGGGTTTCCTTTTGTTCTGCGGGTTCCCCCACAGTCCAAAGACATGCGGTACAGGTGAATTGATTAAACTAAATTGGCCGTAATGTATGAGTGTGCTTTCCAGTACTAGGTTGTAGCTGGAAGTACTTCCGCTGTATAAAACATATGCTGGACAAGTCGGCGGTTCATTCCGCTGTGGCAACCCCATTAATAGATTGACTAAGCCAAAAGAGAATGAATGACACATACTGTTTTTCATACAATGAAATGGCTGTGATTTTTTTTAAGTAGGGTCCTAATATTTTGTGGACGCACTGTTTTTATTATTGTCCATATTTAGTTTTGAGTGTTTTCATTCATGATTCTTATGATCAGTGTTTGGTGTTACCATGTTCCTTAAGCACCAAAGTTATTATTTAATGCACAAATATGGAATATATTTTTCAATATTGTTCTTGGCCTTCTTGGCTCTAAACTCTTTGTTCTCTACTCTTATTGTTTTACCTGGAAATCCTGTACAATAGACCTGACATTATGGCTCATTAGGTTTACAGTAATGTTTTAACGTTCTAATGAAAGACTTGTATTTTTTTGTTTAAATAGCTGTACAGGATGTCCTTTTAGACTTAGACAGCTGTTTCCTGCAGTCTCGCAGTTTTTTTTTTTCACTCTACTGTCACATGATGAGACGGGATCAGGTGGGGCAATTCCTGTCCCACATTAGCTCTTACCAGGATCTCACAAGATGTAAAGGCCCTGTGCCATGCATAGCAAAGACCTGTTTGGCCAGTTTAATAAGTGCATTAGCTTTTAAGTAGCCATTATTATCGAAGGCAGGATTAGTTGAGTTCATTAATGTTAATAGATATCGACTGCAAGCTGTATTTGTGGCAGGCTGCAGGTCAGTTTCTTTGTTTGACTATATACAGATTTCTTACCCTAAGTAATAACAGAACAACAAGTTTAGCAGCAAGGTTTTTTGATCCTACCAAATTTAGGCATGATATTTTTGGCCCTCCTGCATGTTGATTTAGCGCTGAAGCTCCCCTCTCAGAAAGACTAAACACAGTGTGATGGTCACAGAGAGTCCTGCTTTACTCTGGGGCCCAAAAATATTAGCTTTTAGATTCATGTGGACCTTCAACAGGTTAAAAAGTGTGCTTTTAGTTAGTTAAGCTCAATTAGTTTAACCTTTTGTGGCTTTTAGCACATCTTTTATTCAATCATTCATTCTTTTCCTCATTCTGTCATTTTTTTAATGTTTTAATTTTTCCAGTTATTTCCATCTATTGTTCTTTATGGCCATTTTCATCTTTTCAGTCTGCATTTCTGTCTGTCTGTCTGTCTGTCTGTCTGTCTGTCTGTCTAACGTTCTAGCATTCTATCTAGCGTTCTATCTAGCAGTCTTATGTTTCATTTAGCGTTCTAGCATTCTTTGTAGCATTCTAACCATCTTTCTAGCATTCTATCTAGCATTCCATTTAGCTTTCTAACATTATATCTGCGTTCTAGCATTCTATCTAGTGTTTTAGTGTTCCATCTAGAGTTCTAGCATTCTAGAGTTCTAGCATTCTATCTAGCGTTTCATCTAATGTTCTAGCTTTTTATTTAGCGTTCTTTATAGTGTTCTATCTAACATTCTATCTAGTGTTCTAACGTTCCATCTAGTCTTTTAGTGTTTTAGCTAGCATTTTATCTAGCGTTCCATTTAGCATTCTAACGTTCTATCTGTGCTCTAGCATTTCATCTAGCTTTTTATCTTGCGTTCTTTCTAGCATTCTATCTAGTGTTCTAGCATTCTATTTTGTGTTCTATCGTTCCATCTAGCGTTCTAGCATTTTATCTAACATTTAACTAGCATTCCATCTAGCGTTCTTGCGTTCTAATGTTCTATCTGCGTTCCATCT